CACCCTCACACTTTATACATATGCCCCTACTTGACACCCCCCACTTCCCTACCCTATACCTATGTTCACACTCTACCTCATATAAAGACCTACTCCCCAAACCCCACCTGCCCCTCCCCACACAATGTCCACACACAAAGGCCTGCACAGACCTCATCCGTTCATGTAACTAGGAGTTATATGAACTGAAAGCATACAGGCTCAGAAGGGAATTTAGTTCTGCTATGTACTGTAGCGTAGTGGTTACGAATCGGGCTGTGAACCTTAAGGTCAGCAGTTCGAAACTACCAGCTGTTCCACAGGAAAAAGATGAGGCTTTCTGTTCCCGTAAAGATTTATAGACTCGGAAATCCTGTACAGGATTGCTATGAGTAAGAACAGACTCCACGGCACATAACAACAACAACATGTACTATGTCTGCCTTTAGGCAAGTATTTAGGCAATTTCAGTCCTTAATTTCCTCATCCATATAAAGAGAGGATAATAAGAGTAATAAATGATAAGCATTGGATCGTAAGGTCATTTGAATCCCAAGGTCAGTGGTTCAAATTCACCAGCTGCTCCTCGGAAACCCTATACAGGGTCGATATGAGTCGGAACTGACACGACAGCACTTAACAACGCTAATGACAACTGCTTTACAGGGCTGCTCTAAGAACGAAGACAGAGAAATCATGGAAAACACTTTGCACATTACTAGCATATGCCAACATCAAAGACTAAATGACGAGGTTATTTTTCATGTCTCCAAACCCTGGAGGCCACTGGGAAGAGCTCAGGTTCTGTGCTTGACACTAAGTCTGAGACCTAGACTCATCGCTTTATTTTCCAGGACCTCACTTGCTGTTTCTGCCAAGCAAGGACCTCAGGATAGACAACGTCTAAATTCCTGTCCAACATTAAAGGAGCGAACAGCAAACACAAATCAACTGAGGGTTGATGTACAAAATCTGGCCCCAGGTGGATACTTGGATAGGTTTTCATGAAACACAAATGGCAAAGAAGATAAAATAATAATTCACTGCACAGAGCACAAGGTGCCCTGGTGGTAGAGTTGGCTGCTAACGGAAAGGTCAGTGGTATCAAACCATTAGCCACTCCACAGAAGAAGATGGGTCGCCTCACTGATTCAGTTTAAGAAACCCTAGGAAGCAGTTCAATTCTATCCTATAGAGTGCTATCATTCAGAATAGACTCAATGGCAGTGGGCGGTGGTGGTGCCCAGAGCAGGCTGTGGTTCCTATACAGAGGGCGCTGGACTCCAACATGGTGGTCGTGTGCTGTCCAGTCAGTTCCAATTCATAGCGACCCTGTATAGGGCTTATGCAGAGCAGCTGGTAGTTGAGTTTGAATGGCCAACCTTGCGTTTAGCAGACCAGTGCTTATCTTACCCTACCACACCAGGACTCCAGGAGGAGCAATATTTGTGATCCAGTTACAAATATTCATTGGGTTGTTCATGCCCATCTTTCTTTCTCATTTGCACTCATACTAATAGAAACAAGATTGGAAGTGCCCAAGAGGGTCAACTGACATCATTGGCTTATTTCTCCTTGAGTTTGAGATAGAATTAAGCTTAACGGAACAGGAAAGAAAAGAAGATGTGGGGAATGGAGCAAGAAACAGGTGATGAAAGTCTGGAAAGAAAAGACCTTCAAGTAGAGAGAGAAAAAAACTGCAAATTGAGGAAAAGCACATGAATGGAAGGAACTTCAGACCAGGTGTACACCTTTCCCACCTTCCATCAAGACACAGTCTGAAGACAACCTGATACTCAGCAACAAAGGGACCCTGTAAGCAGTTAACGACCACCCTCTTGGGGGTGGGTCCACGGAGAGATAGCTCTCCTGATGACCAAGTTGGAACTGGACAGAACTGAAGCAAGGTAGGGTTCAGGGTGGGGATTTACCTGTAAGCACTGTGTACAACATTTACACGTATGTCCTAGGAAATGACATGAGACACCACATCTGTCCTATCAGGAATGAGCCTGGTAGAACCCTTCCCACCCCCGACCCCCTCCTCCCCACCAGAAGGAAATGAGAGCCATACTATACACCTGGATCCACACCTTCATGTAGAGGTGATACCACGAATACACCTCCAGATTCTTAGATGCAGCTATGAGTCAACAAATAGCTACATGAGACAGATATGGACCCCTTCCAATGGGGATGTCATTCTAGTGGAACTAGAATGGAAACACACAAGTCAGGACAATAATGAAAGTTGTTTTTGTCACAGGGATATGGAGGAAAGAAACATTAGCCCTGAAGAGGGATGAACTAACGGCTTCACTAATCAATCATGCCAATTTACTAATCTTTAATTCAAGGTCATGCTTTCCCCCTTACAGGAAAATAAGAAACGAAAGGAAATTTCTGTGGTCCTACCAGGAGCCCTGGTAGCGTAGTGGTTAGGAATCGGGCTGCCAACCACAAGGTCAGCAGTTTGAAACTACCAGCTGTTCCGCGGAAGAAAGATGAGGCTTTCTGCTCCCATAAGGATTTACAGCCACGGAAACCCTGTACAGGGTCGCTGTGAGTCGGAACCGACTGGACGGCACATAACAACAAGTGCTAACTCAATCCAGCCCTCCTCTTACAAAGATTGCTGTTTCCTGCAATGTTGACCCAAACTCATCTTTCAGAGCCAAGATGCTAACATTTTCCCAGGCTGATTTCTAAAGTCTCTGTGAATGAATCTACAGGAAAACAGAGTAAGGACCAATGGATTCTCTAAAACAACTAGGGTTGCTCCCCCAATAACTCTTCATAGTTTAAAAAAAAAGCAGAGGGAAGTCCATGAAACCTACCTGTGGTTTTCTAAAGCTAATTTTTCTCTTTTACATAATGGAGAACATGCTACTTGTTTTAGAAAATACTCATTTTCTCCTCTACAATTACCCAGGTCCTACTTTGGAACAGAGCACACCTACACAGGCTAGCTTGGTAAATTCTATCTTAAGGTGACATCATCTGCTATTTACCAGCTGCGGAAGGGCCACTTGCCACAGTTTCTATGAAGATGCCACCCCCCCCCCACTCCTCTAGCTCAGAACTGTAGATAGACAACCTCTGAAGTAAATCAAACAGGAAATCTGCTCAAACTGGGTCCTCTGAGAATTACATTGGATACTTTACTCCATCCATGCTATAGCAAGTTCAGGGTGGATCTTATCATTTTATACTTCCCCTATTAACTTGAAGAACATTTAAGGGGAACACAAAAGTATTCAAAAAATATTTAACAGGAACACCATTTTTAAGTTCCTCAAGGATGTCAAAACTGCCGGTTTGTGGTCGTGTAAAAAGACCTGGAGTTACAGCATTTCTCAAGCTGAAATATCTGAAGAAAAAAATCTGGCCTCCACTTACAATAGTCAAGCATTCTATGGACAAAATACTGAATGATGCAAAAAATATCAAAAGAAGATGGAAAGAATACACAGAGTCACAGTACAAAAAAAGAAATGGTCTATGCTCAACAATTTCAAGAGATAGCATATGATCAAGGGTTAATAGTACTGAAGGAAGAAGTCCAATGTGTACTAAATGCATCAGCAGAATAAGGCTCTGGGAATGATGGCAAAAAACTGAAATCTTTCAATGAACTGTGGCAGCACTCATCTATGCCCCAAATTTTGGAAGACAGCTACCTGGCCAACTGACTGGAAGAGATCCATATTTGCATCCATTCCAAAGAGAGGTGACCCAATGGGATGTGGAAATCACTGGACAATATCATTAATATCACATGTAAGTAAAATTTTGTTAAGGATAACTTCAAAATGGCTACACCAGTACATCGAC